TCACAACAAGTTTGAGGCCAGTCAAGGCTACACATGTGAGACTAGTGAAACATTGCCTCAAAACAACAAAAAAAAAGTACAGTGAAGACTGGGGAAATAACTCAATTGGTAAAGTGCTTGCTGAGCAAGCATGAGGACCTGATCCCTTGAAAACATACTTTTTAAAAAGCCAGGTGTGGTGGCACACACCTTTAATCCCATCACTCCCCGGGGCAGAGGCAAGTAGATCTCTGTAAGATTGGGGCCAGCCTGGTCTACCTAAGGAGTTCTAGGCCAGCTGGGGTTACAGAAAGATCCTGTCTCAAAAAAAGAGGCAGGGGGCTAGACAGATGTCTCAGCAGTTGAAAGCACTGGCTGCTCTTGCTGAGGATCCAGGTTTTGGTTCCCAATACCCACATGGTGGTTAACAATCACCTGTAACTCCTGTTTCAGGAGATCCAATGCCCTCTTCTCGCCTCCGCAGGTACTGTGAGACACTGGTGCACTTACAAACATGAAGGCAAAATATACACAAAAGATAAAAAACAAAAACAAAACATACACATACCAAAGATAGGTGTGGTGGCATGCACTTGTAATCCCAACAGTGGGGAAGAGGACACAGGTAGTCAGCCAGTTTATATGGCAAGTCCCAATGCCATGTAATGAGAGACCTGTCTCAAAAAAAAAAAAAAAACAAAAAAAAACGAAAAACAAAAGTAAAGTGGGCACTGGGCTGGAGAGATGGTTGTTTGCAGAAGACCCAGGTTCGATTCCCAGCACCCACATGGCAGCTAATGTCTGCCCATAACTCCAATTCCAGGGGATCCCACACCCTCCTCCAACCCCTGGGCATTGCATGATATGGGTACACTTAGATACATGCAGGCAATACACTCATATACATAAAATAAAAATAGTAATTTTTTTTTTTTGAGACAGGGTCTCCCTGTAGCCCCAGATAGCCTGGAACTCATTCTGTAGACCAGGCTGGCCTTGAACTCACAGGAATCCTCCTGCCTCTTCCTCCAGAGTACTGGAACTAAAGGCATGTGCCACCACACACGGATGGTAATATTTTTTAAAAAGTGGGCACCATCTGAGGAAAGACATCCAGGTTGTCCTTTGCCCTCTACACACACGCGCACGCACCCACATGAATGTACAACACGCACCCACACTCCTAAACACACACAAAAGTACAATGAGGTGCTACTGGGGAATCAAACCCAGGGCCTTGCAACATATACTTTACCACTTGATTACAACCCCCTGCCCCAACAGAGAGATCAATTTCTAGTAAATATGAAGTCAAACTGAAATGATCTGTCCCACAAAGTAGATTTTTCTTAATGAAGATACAAAGTAGGAGGACATGCAACAGAAAAAAGTTAATGAAGGCATACTAAACAAAAGTTAATCCAGGCAGGATGAGGCTGGAGAGATGGCTCAACGGTTAAGAACACTGGTTGTTACTAGAGAAGACCCGGGTTCGAATCCCAGCACCCACATGGCAGCTAACAACTGTCCGTAACTCCAGGCCCAGGGGATCCAACAGCCTCTTCTAACCTCCGTGGACACTACATGACATGGGTGCACTTACCTACATGCAGGCAACACACACATATACATAAAATAAAAATAATTTTTTTTTTAAATTAAAAAGAAAAAGTTAATCCGGGCTCTCAAGGTCCAAATACACTTGAATACTTCAGAATACTTCTGAAATATCTGTGTAATAAATTAAATATGTGAATAACAAATATGTTAAATTATCAGTAAGGTTTTTTAGGTTTTGTTTTGAGACAAGGTCTTGCCATGTTATCCAGGCCCTTAGCCTCAAACTGGCTATCCTGCCTCAACTTCCCACGTACCAAGATTATAGGCATGCACACCAGGCTATCCCTTTTTAGATTTAAAAAAAAAATGTTAAGGGCTAGAGAGATGGCTCAGAGGCTAAGAGCACTGACTGCTCTTGCAGAGGACCTAGGTTTGATTCCCAGCACTCATACAGTGGCTAACAACCACCAGTAACCTAGGAAATTTGACACTCTATTCTGACACTCTTTTCTGACCTCCACAGGCACTGTATGACACAGGTATACTTACATACATGCAGGCAATAAACTCATAAAATAAAAATGATAAAGTTTTTTTTAAAAAGAAAAGATCTGGGCATGGTGGCACACTCCTTTGATCCCAGCACTTGGGAGGCAGAGGGAGGCACATCTCTGTGAGTTCAAGGCCAGCCTGGTCTTCATAGTGAATCCAGAGAGTGTGACTACAGGAAGACCCTGTCTCAAAAATACCAAAAAAAAAAAAAAAAAAAAAAGGCAAGAAAAGTTTTTTCATCTATCCAAAAGGATCATCTTATGCTGGTCTTGAACTTGGGAATAATGCTCCTGTGTCTGCAATGCCAGACCCAGCCCTAAGTCCCAAATTTTTCCATAAGCAAAATGAGGAAGGAGAAACTGAGAAACAAAATCACCGGGCTAAAGTTGAATGGCAGATGTAACTGGGAGAAGACTGAAAAATATTCCAACTAAATGTTCTTTTTATCCCTTTGACTATGAATACAAGGGCAAAGCATCTGACCGAAATTTCTTTGTGCTTCCAAGACGCTTTGATTTTTGTATTCTTTTGCCAAATCAAAAATCTTACAGTACAAAGTAACGTTTACAGTTTCACAGATGCCTGTGGTTTGGTAACATTTTTTAAAGCCCAGAAAAGAAAATCTGAACCATAAACTCATGTGATCTCCTTAAAGGCCAGGCCATAAATGCACAACCAAGCTGTCTATGCATCTAGAGAATTCACACTTGGAAGTTGTTGTATTCTTTATAACAAAAAATGAAGAATGAGGCTGGCGATATGGTTCAGTAAGTAAAGCACTTGTTGCATAAGCCTAATGACTTGGGTTTGCTCCCCAGAACCCATGTGAAACTGGAAAGAGAACAAACTCCTCAAAGTTATCCTCTGGCTTCTACAGTTGCCATGACATTTGCACACACCCCCAACACACACACACACACACACACCCATACACCCATACACCGAATAATATAATTAAAAATCAAAATAGAAATTTAAAAAAATGAAGACTGAATCAGGAGCTACCCAATACCCAAAGAGAAGCCTAAAGAAGTATCAAAAATCTGAATGACAGGGACGCCTTTCCTGTCCCATGTAGAAGACAACTTCATAGCATAGCCATCATCGGAAGAGTAAACTTGTGATAAAAATTTTAAATCAGAAGGATGGGGAGTTTCTCTCAGTAGTAGAGAGCTTGCCTAGCAAGTGCAAGATCCAGGGTTTGAGCCTCAGCTCTGAGCCAGGAAAAAAAGGCATGAGGAGGGTTGAGGATATTGCTCAGTGGTAGTTTTCAATCCTTAGTACCTCACCCCTCCCCATAACCCTCTCCCATCTCACCAGACTCATTCATAATAATCTCCCTAGGCAGCAAGTCATAAACTTCAGAGATCACAAACAGGCTCAAAATAAACTAGTAGAGGGAAAGAAAAAGTGGGAGGTTTTGTAAATTGCCATGAGAGACTACTTTGCAGAGAAACTTTAATTCTGCATCAGAATTCATTCTCTGGGATGACAATCACGCATTTTCTATCTTCACTAACTTGGACCATGAGGACACAACATCAGAATTTCTTATATCTGCCTAGTGTGGAAACCAGTCCCAACAAAGAATCATAAATTCTCAATTTCAACCAGTTGTTTCTTTTTTAAATTTGCACCATGAACAGATGGAGAGAGATCCTTGAAATTGAGAATAAAAAATGTAGAATGTTTCAATTAAAACCTAAGACTCTTCATTTGGCTTCGGAGGAGCTGGCAGGGTTATTCTGAAGAAGGCAACCTTCATCTGGCATACAGGCCCTCAGTGGCTGGTGGGCAGGTTCCCAGGATCCAGAACATCCATAATTTATTATCAAGTGCCCTAGCCAACAAATTAATGCACAATTATTTCCTCCCCTACTCCCCCATAAGGCAACCTTTACTTTAGAACAATGTGCCCAGAGGAGGAACCTAGAGACGCGAGGCCTTCCAAGGCAAAGCTAAGCCTGTATTTTCTCTTTCCTTTTTCTCCACACGTTTGCTCAGACTCTCCATTCAAAATGAGGCCCTAGGAGACCGACTCTTAAGGCCCTGGTGGCCTTTCCTTTGTTCATGGCTAGGCTCTACAAAGACGCCCAAGCTTCAAGCTTTGGGTTTTCTAAAGATCTGTATGTAAATGAACGCAACGCAGGCCTGGGAGCTATGGAAAGCCGAATAATAATGAGTCACCGCGCCTCAAGTCAATCAAACCTGTAGACCACAAGGCCCTGACCTGGGAAGTGCACAAGGACCAAGTGGAGGGGGGGAACCCCAAGAAACCTATCGATTGACAGTCACCTAGGTGGGGACCACCGGCCCAGTCAGCAACCTCACGGCCTCGTAGCTCAAGGAGGTGCTGGGCTCCGTGGGATAGCCGCCCAACAATCCCTCGAGTCTTCGAGTCAGAAGGGTTTGGGGCTACATTAGAGGAGGCGGCAGAGAAATTTCTAAAGAGTAGACATTTTTCGACGAAAGAGCAGAGAGGGTGAACCGTTAAAAAAAAAAAAAAAAAAAAAAAAAGCACAACGGAGTCCCCGCTTGGGCCTCCGCTAAGCGGCGAGTGACTACGGAAGGGAGACAAGTTCCACCCGGGGATGGAGGAACCAAGCAACAGCTGAGGTAGGAGGGGCACGGGGGACTGCCCGGGGCCCGGCCGGGGGTACGCGGGGCGCTACCCCGCCGGCCAAGGCGGGATGGGGGCGCCGGCCCAGGCCAGGCAGGAGTGCGCGCAGAAGACGCCAGGGTCGCAGGACTGCTGACAGGGCACGCGCGAGACCCCCCGAAGGCCGGCGGAGCGATGGCGCGGCGGGGGAGGGGACGGGTGGGGGAGGGGCGCCAGACTCACAAAACCCGGTCGTCGCCGCTACCCACCCCGCCCCCGCTGCCTCGGCTTCCCAACCCCCTCCACGTACTCAGACTGAGGGTCCGTGCGGGCCCCAAGCGGCTGCGGCGTCGGCGGGTGGCACGTCTGTCACTCGCTCGTTCCCGGCGGCCCCGCTCCCGCAGCGCGTTGCCAAACACGGGCTCCAGCACCGAGCAGCAGCGGCTCCACTTCCGGTTTCCCTGCCACTCAGGCAAATGGCTTCCGGATGTCCCGCCCCCATGCAGGCGGGCCCGCGGCGAGGCTCCGCCCTCCACGCTTTCACTCTCAACAGGGTGTGCTCCACCTGCGTGCAGGTGAGCTGAGCTGTAGGCGCCAGGTTTTCCGCTTTGTTGCCTCTCCCGCCCTGTTTTCGCCCACAGTCTGCACTGTTGGAGCCTCTGTCTTTCTCGTAAACGCGTCCCCGAGTCCTGCCTTCCTGTCGCCGCAGTGTGATGGATGCCATCCGGGGATGGCATTCAGTACAATTGTAACGTGACCTCACGCTGACACCATTCGCTTCTCATCTAACCTATCTGGCTTCCTCTCCGCCCATGGAATTAACCAGATTGCTCAGTGGGAGAGAAATAGGGCTTTAGAGTTAATGAAGCCGTCCTTCACATTTACGAGCGAAATTTCTGTTTCTAAGATGAATTTTCAAATTGTGGGTGACCGCTCCTAAGGGGGATGAGTAGCCCCGGTCTTTTCCTTAAAGATCCATCCATTTCAGGGGAGGACAAAGTCAATATTGAGACGATTAGATAACGGGCCAGATAAATGCAAGACAAGTCAGAGCTGAAAGGAGAGGAGCAAGAGATGTGTGTCAGCGTAAGCAGGGAAACGTTTGATGGAGCAGCGCCGGGGCTGGCTCTCCATGGGTAGGAACTGGGTAAGATTCATTTAAGCCTATGGTGGTGAATAGGCAGAGCCTTCCAGGAATCTGAAACTGATCAAGGGGTTCAATTGGACTGAAAAAAAGCCTTTTAGGAAACCATAGAAGTCTAGGAGGCTAAACTGTCAAGACATCAAATTATTTTTCAGAGTACCTGTGTTGTCACGTGGTATTACTTTTGAGGGGGGTATCTTTTTGAGACAGGGTCTCCCTGTAGCTCCAGCCGCCTGGAACTCACTATGTAGACCAGGCTGCCCTCGAACTCATAGAGGATCCGCCTGCCTCTGCCTCCCGAGTGCTGGGATTAAAGGCGTGCGCCACCACGCCCGCGGTATTACATTTTTATGATCTCAAGTCCAAGATAATTTTTTCCTGATGTAAAATGATTTTCACATCTCTAATTTACCTCGGAACTCATTGCAGATGTTCCAATCATATATGACACTAGCAAATGCTCAGTGTTTAACTCAAAAAATTTTGTATCTGAGAAAAATGATGGTATAAAGAGGGAGCCCCCCAAAAAATTATTCAGAGAAACAGCTTGAATTAGTCTCCAATGATAAACCCATAGGATCCTGAATTTTCCTCATTTTGACGTTCAGTATTTCACTGAGTGAATTTTTTTCTCTTTCCTTCCTTCCTTCCTTCCTTCCTTCCATTTTTCCTTCCTTCCCTCCCTCCCTTCCTCCCTTCCTCCTTTGAGACAGGGTCTCATGAAGCCCAGGCTAGCCTCCAATTCACTATGCAGCTATGGATGACCTTGAACTTCTAATCCTTCTGCCTCTTCCATCTGAGAGCTGGGATTACTAGCATAAGCCGAAAAACTTGGTCTTTCACTGGGCTGGAGTGTGAGCCCAGGGCTTTGTGCATGTTAGGTAAATACTACCAATAGAGCTTTGTTCCCAGCCCTGAGAAAACTTTCTTTGGTCCCATAAGACTCCTCATTTTGGGACTAGAGAGATGGCTCAGTGGTTAAGCGCATTGGCCACTGTTGCAGAAGACATGGGTTTGATACCCAGCACGCACGTGGTAGCTAACAACCATTCCTAACTCCAGTTCCACAGGAATCTGACATCATCTTCTGACCTCTGGCATTGCAGAACATGGGTGCACCTACCTACATGCAGGCAATACACTCATACAATAAAAATAATAAATTTTAAAAAATAATTTAAAGACCTTCTTTTGTTGTTTTGGTTGTGCTAAGGAGCAAATCCAGAGAGACATTTGAAAATCCTGGGACTGGAGAAATGATTCAACAATTAAGAGCATCTACTGCTCATTCAGAGGACCTGAGTTTGGTTCCCAGCACAGATGTCTGGCTTTGTGTAACTCCAGCTCCAGGGGATCTGACACCCTTTCTGGCCTCCTCCCAATCCTTGCAACTGTATTCTAATATACATACCCCACACAGATATACATGCATACACATCATTAAAGAAATCTTTAAAAAGAAAATTCCATCATAGTATATAATTTTCCAATAAAATAGAGTTCTTATGCAATCACTTAGGATCTGTAATGAATGTATTTGTGCTCAAGAAGGGATGAGCCCAATGACAGGCCAAATTACACAGGCTATTTAAGCATCTGGGCTTGATTTACTGGTTAAGTGCTTTGCTTCCATTGCCCAGCAATCTTGAGGGTAATTTCATTCAAGGTTAGACCTGGTGGCTACATATCTGTAGTCCTAAGACCAAGACAGGAGGGTCACTTTAGCCCAGAAGTTTAAGGACAGTCTGGATAACATAAGCAAGATTCTTTGTAAAGTTAAAAAGAAAGAAAAAGAAAAAGCCAGGCATGGTGGCGCATGCCTTTAATCCCAGCACTTGGGAAGCAGAGTCAGGTGGATCTCTGTGTGTTCAAGGCCAGCCTGGTCTATGTAGTGAGTTCCAGGACAGCTGGGGCTACAGGGAGACCCTGCCTCAAAAAGAAAGAAAAAAAGAAAACTTGTTTTAATGTACCTTCCCTTCAACCAAACAAGGCCACTGCTAAGAATCTGAGAAGCCAAATGTGCTACCTCAGACCTGTAATCCCAGTACTAGGGAGGCTAAAGCAGGACTGTTTCCAGCTCAAGGCCAGCCTGGGCTACCTAGTGAGTTCTTGGCCAGCCTAAGCTACAGAGGGAGACCTTGTCTCATAAAACAAAACAAAAAATGTATCTTGTAACAATAAAAGGTGACAATGAGTATTTGTTTTGTGCCATGTTCTGTTCCCTATAGAACAAATACATTATTCTTTTATTTATTTTGTTGTTTTATGACATGGGGTTCTATATAACCATGGCTGGCCCAGAACTTGTTAGACCAGTCTGGCCTTGAACTGGCAGGAATCTTCCTGCCTCTGGCTCTAAAATACATAATTCTTACAAGTCAGCAGTTCTGTCGGGTGTTGCTGTGCAGCTATATAAGGAATAGCAAAGAACCTGTGGTATAGAGAGATCAGCTGGTGGGTGATAAGTAAAGGGCTGCTTTTCAAATTTAGGCTGAAGCCAGGAGTAGTGGCTCATGCCTTTAATCCCAGTGATTGGGAAGCAGAGGCAGGCTGATCTCTGTGAGGCCAGCCTGTTCTACATAGTGTGTTCAGGCCAGCTGGGGCTACAAGGGGACCCTGTCTCAAGCAAACAAAAAAAGTCAAATTTAGGCTGAACCGACTGCCACCATGTTTTCCGGGGCCCAGCATGAGCGCCCTGCAGTGTGTGGTGGAGCAGCTCAAGCTGGAGGATCGAGGCCTCTCAGGCAGCTGCAGAGCTGCAGCAGTACTACATGCAGAATACCTGCAAGGACGCCCTGCTGCAATCCCTTCCAAGAGCCCAGATCCTGTGCTTTATTCTAAAGACTAGGAAGAAGTTCACTGAGGAATACCTTCAAGCACAAACTGATGAATGACTGACTCCTAGTCCCAAGAAAGCAGTTTACTCCAGCTAAATGACTTCCACATATTTAAGACCTCTCTTTGGCCAGCTCCAATAGCCAAATTCCACAGAAATTAGGTGATTTTTTTTATTCAAATAAGAACCTAGTGAAGGAGTAAAGTTTTCAATAGTAAATGGCTTACTTCTTTTGCTGAAGTATTTTGTATTACAACAAATAGAAACTGTACCACCAAATTTACTGATTCATCTCTTCCATAAGTGAGGTACTAGTGTTGCTGTGCCTGGGATAGCAGGTATGTTTTATTTACTGGATGTTTACATTTTAGGAAGAAAACATTTGTATTACGAAAGTTGAGAATTGTAATTTGCTGTTGCTAACGTTTTTATGTTATAATAAAATTTGTTCTTAAGAATTTACAATTACTAGGACGAGAAAGTATAAAATTAAGAACAGGCTGATACCCTGATTTTCTAAGCAAGAGTTGCTCATTTCTAAATGAGAATAATATTTTTCTATATTTATTATTTTTATTTTATGTGTATGCGTGTATCACCTACATGTATGTGAGCGCACCCATGTCATGCAATGCCACGGAGGTCAGAAGAGGGTGTCAGATTCCCCTGGAAATGGAGTTAAGGATGGGTTGTAGCCACCACGTGGGTGTTGGGAATCAAACCTGGGTCCTCTGCAAGAACAGTCAGTGCTCTTAACTTCTGAGCCAGCTCTCCAGCCCCTATTGTTTTATTTTTAACACTAAACTTGGGAGCAGCTTCTTAGGAAACCTGTTTGAAAGGATTAATCAGAAGTTCAAGGATATCCTTGACTACATGTCAAGTTTGAGGTAAATCTGAGTTCTATGAGAGTCTGAGAAAGAGGAAGGAAGGGAGGAAGGGAGGGAAAGAAGAAAGGAAGAAAGGAAAGGGAGAGGGAGGGAAGAAGGGAAGGAGGGAGGATGAGAGGGAGGGAGGGGAAGGGGGAAGAATATTTGTTAGTTCAAGGTGAGCCTGGGCTATAGAGTGAGTTTAATGCCAGCCTAGGTAACTTTTGGAGACCCTGATACAAAACAAAAAGTAAGAAAAAAAGAAGGGCTGGGGATATCTCACAGGTGGAGCACCTGCCTAGCAAGTATGAGTTCAATCCTTGGTTCAATCTTCAGAACTAAAATAAATAGAAAAACAACAATCAAACATCACAACACAGTTATTTGACCACAATCCAAACTGGTAAGACTGGTAAGGATGGGGATCAGCAGGGACTCCCATTGTTTACTAGTGGGAATGCAAGCTGATATAGTCTTTGCAAGAAACAAAACAGAGTCGTTGTATATGTCGTCATGCTCCTTTGCAATTACACAAATGAGTTTAAAATTTATGTGCAAACAAAAACCTGCACATGAATGTTTATGACAGCTTTGTTCATAACTGTCAAAACTAGGAAGTAAGCA